ACCTGTTTCTCCAAACCTAAATACACACATGCTTATAGTGATGGTTGTGTTCATTGAGCTCATTTATTCAGTCTACAAGTTAAACACCTTTTTCCAATGTTAAGGATTTATATCTCCTGCTTTAAATCGCACCTTTTAGAAAACCTTTTGTAATTTTTCTGTAAATGTAGTATATTGAATTTGCAACTATAGCACTAATTGTAGAGCCTAAGGACTCATCAAAAGGTTTTATATGCCTGGACTTTATGACAGAGGGAAAGACTACGGAGTGAGAATCATTTGAATTTCACCTATTCATATCTACATTTAATTCTTGCAGCTATGGATTTTAGTTTCTGTCTCAAATTTGCTGTTAGTGAGGAATTTCTTTGTTAAAGTTTGTTGCATCATAGGTTTCAACACATTTCACCATTTGAATCTGTGACCAGTTGTGTAATATTAAACATTTTCGTACAATAAGACTCTGAAGTTGAAGTTTAACTATACTAAAAGGTTTTATTTTACTTCAAAAAGGGTTAAAAAAAACTACATGTATGTCTTTATTATTTTTATTATGTTGTTGAATTCATGCAGAAACATTTTTATCTAAAGCTAATTTGCACAGAAAACGACAGCCAACACTTGCTTAAATTCCTGTATTTCATGCCAGGATGACTGTAGACCGAGTGCTGATGGGAAGTGGCAGATGTTTTTTTTTTTTTTTTTTCTTATTGTTGAACAACCTGTTGCATGTTACTGCCTGGGAAAAAAATTGAAGGAGGCATTTATTAGCTGAATATAGTAAAAGAAAAATATTTGTACAGGGTGATTTTTAAGTTGGCAGGTTTGAATACAATAGAGAGGAAAGTGATTACATTTATCCACCATTTAAACACATCTAAAGCCTTTCTGTTGGTTATGAAAGTTGAAAAAAATATATCAGTGCAGAGGTTTGTTTGTTTCCTCTCTTCAGCAATCAGAGATTGAGAAATGTTTTGGGAATATCTAATTTGCTTCTTGATTTAGACATTTATTGTTTAACTCTTCAGTTCATATTTTTTGGCAAAACAGCAATAACAATAAATGTTTATTTTTTTTCTCCATTTTGGTTACCTTTAGTGTTACATCATAGTTTTTGTTTTGTTTTTTGCATATGTGTACACTGGTCTGTGAGGGTTTTCTATTGAACCAAACTAGATACAGAATAATACTACAGTCTGTTTGACCTAACCATATTGTCCAATATAATACAGTTTCTTAAGGTATTTGAAATTGCATCAGCCCTGTATTCATAAATACAGACTTTTTGTTATCTTTGACTCATAGGCGGTTAACATTGCTTGTTGAGCAAATGGAAAAAAGAAAGCAATGTTCTTGTTCCAAAGATTTCAATTTACTATATGTATATTTTTTAGTCCTCTAATTGTTGAATTATTTCCTGAGGTGTAGCAATCGGCAAGAGGTCAGAAGCGTCTTGAGTTTCCCAGTCAGCACTGATATGTAGCAGCACATTAAATACAAAATAAAAAAATCTGTATATTCTGTACAGTAAAATGTAAATTGTCAAAATGTCATTTATTTTTCACTTATTGATACATAATGTTTCATCAAACCCTTTTGTAGTATTTTATTTTTAAAAACAGATTATTGGACACGTGCTTTGATGCACCAATGGTAAAAATCGATGAAATTCAAAAATCTTGCTGCTGTCTAAGAACACAGAACTTAGTTTTTCCTTCAGCTGTTATTGTCCTTGGATGAAAATCAGAATTGTCAGCTGATGCATCCACTTAGTGTTGTAAAAGCATTTCAGCTCAGGTTTCATTGTTTCCCATGTTTGCTTGGGTTCCTGGAGTAATATGCTCCATATCAGGTTATGGTCTCAATGTCTGCAAGGGTTGAACTTTTTGCAACAACTTCCTGTTGTCTGCGTGCGTAAAAAAGACGAGGAGAGATTTGCTCCTCGTGATTTTCTGAACAGCTTGGGAAACGCATGACTGAAATTAGTGGTATTAAAACATGACTGCTTTAGGAACAAGATATCTCAACTTAGATTCTTAGATTTATGTTAATATGAATTTTTATGTCACTGCACTTCATAAAACTCATTTTTTTGTTTCTTTCTTTACAATATAAAGACATTAACTGCTTTAATTATTTTCTCCACACAGCTGAACAATGACGTCTAGGAAGAAAGTTCTCCTTAAAGTCATCATCCTGGGAGATTCTGGGTGAGTCATAACATGATCAATTGTTCTTCTGAAGGAGAACACGGATCAGTGCTAAATATAGGAGGGGTATTTTTTTGGGTAGTGTTTCTGGTTAGTCTGATCTCTGCTACTTCCTTGTTGGGAGTGGTTTTTGTCATAATCTGTATCCAGGCAGAGATCACCCTCAACTCCCTCAAATGGTATTATGACTCCACTTAGAAATCTGTGCTTTTCATCTGCAGACCTGTTTGAACTTGGTTTGTTGTCACTGCTGTAGTTTGGTTTCCAAGATCTGTGCTGTTAGCACTGAACATTAAATTACTTTTGGGTTGGTGATTTCAGTTCCATTTTCTATTCAAACCAAAACTAAAATACCTTCTTTTTAAATGCTTTTGTTTAGTTTTAAATTTTATAGTAATGAAGAAGTAAATCAAGATATTATTATCTAATTTATCTAAACAAAAATATGAAAATCAACACAATGCTTTTTAATATGATCTTTTCACAACATGGAATTCATTTTCATCTGCTTTCTTTTACCCACTATTTCCTAAAAAATCCCACAATTCACTGTGATTTGACTTTCCATGTGACTGCTGTTTTTTTTTTTTTTTTTTTTTTTTTTTTCATTCAAAGCTGTGCTTTTTGCAGCAAGTTCATTGCCTTACTTCTACTGTCACCTAGTGACTATATTATTTAGATTTGTTACCAGCACACATACCGTTACAGGACATGAGCCTGAGGATGTTTTGCTGGGTAATTTTCAGTAGGTTGCCTTACAGTGGTAATTGGGTGGAGTCAACCATCTGGTTTCTTTTGTTGGCCTCATGTGGAACCAGGAAAAATGCTCATGTTTGTGCCACTATCTTTAGATTAAAAAGAAATAGGCAGACAATTAAATGAGTGGTTGATTCAGTTCTTTATTTTTTTCTATCTTAGTTTTAAGATGTTATTGTTGCCTACATACAGGATGAAGAATGGGAAAGATAAGCGTATTTAGAATGACCATGGTACCATGAATCAGGCACATTTTTTTCAGTTTTTGTCTCTGTTGCATAAACTCATGTTATATTTCCTCCTTTTCTTTCACCATCACAGACCTTCAGTGAGGTTGGAATTATTACTGTTCTAATAATTCCATTCAGTATTAAAATACAGTTTATATAAATGGTTTTAAAGGGCACCATGTGCATCTTATGTCTGCAGTAGATGTGATGCCCATCTTGATCAACTAGTTTTAATAAGATTCATAGATGGGGAACAAAGATTAAACACATTTTTGCTGTTTGATTGAGGTATCTTTCTGTCTATGAATGCACATGCGGACCTTAGATGCACTCCAATGTATTAATAATGATAATTGAACTTTATTGATCTCACATTGGAGAAATTTGCCCGTGCATTTAACCCATCCCCTTGGGGATACAGTGGCCTGCCATCTTGCGGCGCCCGGGGAGCAGTTTGGGGTTAAGCGTTTTGTTCAGGAACCCAGAGTAGAGGCTGTGGGGATCAAACCGGGTACTTGCAACCTTCTCAAAGCACAAGTGCACTACTCTAACCCACTAGGCCAACACTCCCAATGGAACTTTAATGGAAGTTACCCTAATGGTGATGATTATGGTGAACTGCAGCTATCTGTGAGGAGTTACTATGAATTCTTTGCTAATAGTTTTTATTGTTGCATCTCTTATGTAGCATAAGTTTGCTGTGCCTCTCTAGTGGTGCTGTTCAATTTAATGGTTTATAGATGTAAAAATGTTTGTCCAGACAGTTTTGGAAAAAACATTCTGTGATTAGAAAAAAAATCTGTATGACAGAAGTTGACAACATTGCAAAAACTAAAATCTTTTTAGAAATGTTCTTGGACAGAGAAGCTGTTTGTTTGGTGTTTGCCTTAGTTGCTTTAACCTTCTAGCACAGATAAAAGTGGAAATGGATATTTGTTTTGTCTCACACATTATAGTAAATGTACATCTTTTATTCCTTTTATTTATTTATTTGGTTTTTAGAATTGTGTAGCCATTGTCTTAATCTTCTGTAATAATCTTCTGTCTCCTTAGAGTTGGAAAGACCTCTCTCATGAACCAGTATGTGAACAAAAAGTTTAGTAACCAGTACAAAGCAACAATAGGAGCAGATTTCCTCACCAAGGAGGTAATGGTGGACGACAGACTCGTTACAATGCAGGTATATATTTCCATTGTTAATATATATTTCCTTTTTTTTTTTACAATAAATGGAAGTGAAATTGTAGAGGTATTGAAAATGTGCTGCTTTAAAATACTGAGTCAGGTGTTAATGTTTCAAGCTCATTTTTCATGTACCTTCATGTTTTTTATTTTTTAATTTTTTTTGTTTTTTTAGATCTGGGACACAGCTGGCCAAGAAAGGTTTCAGTCCTTGGGTGTTGCATTCTACCGTGGAGCAGACTGCTGTGTGCTGGTCTTTGACGTGACTGCGCCCAACACCTTCAAGACACTCGACAGCTGGAGGGATGAGTTTCTAATCCAGGCCAGCCCTCGAGATCCTGAGAATTTCCCTTTTGTGGTGCTAGGCAACAAGATTGACTTGGAGAACAGACAGGTTGTTATCAGTTCCACACTCCTGAGACAGTCTATGTTAAATTACTATTCTTAAAGACATAGCATGGTCAATGCATTGCAAATTGTCTTTCAGTTTTAGCATTCTCTTGTTCTGCTTAATATGAGCTATACAGGTTGGACTGTAGTTGCTCCAAAGAAGCAACTGATGAGAATACACTAATAATTCATGTTTTCCTGGTGGAAGGTTTCGAATAGAGCTCAGGCTTGACACTGTTGCATCAAAAACTGTTTATTGAATTAATTTTATAATGTTAAAGAAAAAAAAACGAAAAGGTTTCGGCTTATAGTTGAACCAAAACGGGAACAGGTAGGCAGGCATGTTTCTCCTGACATTGGTGTGAGTCATTTCTGTTGGCAGGGAGAACATCCTTTATTGACTCTTCTTTCAGCAGAGATGAAAAAGCCTTGCTTTTATATTACAGATTCCAGAGTAAATTATTTGCATGTTAGAAGAAAGGCAAATCCTGACTGACCCCCTGCCACCGGCAGCAATAAGGACCACCTGTTTATTCACAGAATTAACTTAAGGGATTTCTTCTATTATTTTAAATACACTGCTTTCAGATGAATGGCTTGGTTACCACTGAACCTGTTGTTATTCTATTACTCTACTTAAACTGTTACTGAAATAATTCCCACTGCCATTAGACAGCTGAACTGATGAGAAAAGTTTGAATCACGTCACAGACTCTGCATCACACCGACAATACCAAACCAAAACACTGCATACTATTAATGCCCTGAACTTCCATATCAATTCTTTTTTTTTTTTTTTTTTTTCCTTTTTTTTTTCCCCCACACTGTTTAAATTTGATCACTGCTGCACTTCATGGAATGGAAAGTCATGAAAGCTGTACAAAATGAAATTTCGTATTGTACACACTTTTTGTATACAAAACGACAAAAGTTGTCTTAAGTAATTTTCTTTATAAAGTAATTTTCCCTAAACTTTGACTTTGAACATATGCTATCCTATGTTTTTACACATTTATTATCATGCCATTTTTACCAAGCCGATGAGAAATGTCTTGGTGAAAATGCCCGCCTTCTTTAAAACCCCCTTTTTTCATTTTTGTTATTCCCATCGGAGGTATTGGTATCACAATTTGCATCTATTAATACAAAAAAGGGATTTTCTCTAGTGCTCAGGACATTTTGTCATTTGAGAGAAAAAAATCTTTACCATTAATCTCCTCAGTAGCTGTGTATCACATTGTTGTATTTGAAAATGTAAACAGGAAAACTAATCCTATGTTATCACTCCCCTGATATTACCACTTTATTAGTGATGCTAGTTGATTCTTATTTCCCTTCTAACCACTTTGAAGTTAGACATAACATTGAATTTATCTACAAAGTCAATAATGAATCTGTTTTGTTTTTCTCTGTGTATTTAGGTAACCACTAAAAGGGCTCAGGCTTGGTGTCAGAGTAAGAACAACATCCCCTACTTTGAGACCAGCGCCAAAGAAGCCATAAATGTAGAACAAGCATTCCAGACAATTGCACGTAACGCTCTCAAACAGGTGAGTTACAGATAAGAAAAAACAAAACAAAAGGGTTTTTCTTTAAATTTCCATTATTAGTGACATTCTTTTCTTTTTGCATGCTTACAGGAGACTGAGGTGGAGCTGTATAATGAATTCCCAGAACCCATAAAGCTGGATAGGAACGACAGAGCTAAACCTTCCCAAGAAAGCTGCAGCTGCTGAGGGACAAACTGGACCATCTTCTCTCATAGTGTCTTCACCCTGTTGCATCTCATCATCCTCGCTCCCAGGGAAAAAAAAAAAAAATCCCTACTGGTCTTCCTCACACACCGCTCATTCCATTGACTCCACCCCCTCACACTGTATACTGCACATGGATGTATGCCTCCCCTCCTCCCCCACTTAGTACATAAATTAATACACTAGTTCACCCTCATATATAAATCAATGACAAATCCAGTGCAGTAAAATAACGAGAGAAGAAAAAAAGAGAAACCTCACATCCCATGAATCGGTAGCGAGTGAACTCCTGTATTGTGCCGTGTTTGTCAGGTTTTTCCCCCTGACTCACACTGAGAGGACAAGGCGATGGAGCCATGTTCAGGCTGCAATTAGGAAATCTGGATGGACTCCAGAACTCACAGCGAGCTCTGTGTTGTGAGATGATGTTGACCAATCCCAAGATACAGCATCCCAAATGTCTTTCTTTGCTTTCTGCTCGCTCTCTTTTTTGCGCCTTCTCCCAAGAAGTAAATAAAGTAGTAGACCTAAATAAATATGTTGTAATTGGCTTGTTAATTTGAAAGCTGATCTGAAACACTTGTTTTTGCACTTTTTTTTTTTTTTTTTGCCTTCAAGTGTTATGGAGGGATGTTTTGGGTAACGTCTTCTATCTAATGCCTTTTGGTAAGCTCCAAATGTATACCTCTTCCATCCCCTCTTTGCTTCAAATATCTTCTGAACAATCTGGTGATTGTATTGCCTTTTCACTTCAGGATTAAGGTTTGAAACTGCCTCACACTGCTGAATATGTTACTCTGTCAAGTAAAACGCTGATTAGGAAACCAGTGTAACAAGTTAAATCCTTGATATATAAAGTTTGCCTTTTATGTACCATTACTTGTACTGCTACTATTACTGCTGTATGTGTTGTTGTCCTCGTCAGACACACCTCAGTGCTAAAAGATTATACGCATCACCAACACTGCATACACCTGTCTTCTGTCCTGTCTTCATTATTGCTGTTCTATCTATCTGCTTGTAGCTCAGGTTGGCTAAGTACTTAATATTTTTAACGGATTGTGTATTACGGTGTATAGATAGTATAGAACTCAAATCTGTTTCTTTCCATTTAAGAGAAAACGTTCAACAAATTGCCCTGGTATTACTTTTGTTTTTTTCTTTCCTTACAGAAAACATTACAGCAATGCCAATGATGTTGTAAAAGGAAATTTGAACGTCAAATAATAAAACTATTGAATATATATAAATTGTTTAATGTCTTGGATGGTATCTACGTGTACATCTCTCTAGATAACATCAAAAAGTGGATTTATTTCAGTATCAGTTTCAATAAAATTGTAAAACTTGAATGAAAAAGGAAGAAAATATTTTTTAGCATTTAAATTGGATTAGTGAAATAAACTACTCTAAACCTGGATGCTTGGATTTTTCTTGGCAGACTGAATGTAATCAGTAGAGGCTTGTTGAATTTAAGCCTCATGAAGATAATTTGACTTTTTATGCATCTAATGCTGAGAAAATGAAGCTAGTTTGTGTAATTGTGTGTGTACTTTCGCATTTAACATCTTCAGAGTAAAACAGCTCTTATATTTTATAAACTCAGATTCCACATTTTTTTTATTAAAAATATTTTTTTGCTATAAAACAAAAGCATATAATGCTAAAATGTGAAAACTTTTCGGTATGCTTCCAAGTATACATTTTCTGTAAAAACGTTTTACATTCAGATAAGCAAATAAAATTATTTGTGTACCAGAAAATAAGGAACTTCCGGTGTGCACGCGGAAAACGCAACTGCAGCTACTTCCGCGTTTAGCCTGACTGCTAAAACCGAAAAAATGGTAAGATAAAAAATGACATACCACTAGGACATATGCATTTTTAACAGCTATTGATATGTAAATTGTTAATGTGTCTTCGGGGGATATTCTTATGCTGCTACCGTAGCTTTATTGATTGGTTGATTTATTTATTTCCCGTCATATAGTTTGTATGCTAACGTTAGCTAAGCTAGCAAGCTGAAAGAGATTTTAGGTTTATGTCTGAGTTTGTATATAACGTGCAAAATTATATATATATATTTTAGTTACTTTCTGCAGTTGCTGGCATATTATTAAAAACACTTTACAGCCTAACACAGCTCTAACCATTTAAAAGGTTACATTAGCTGAAGCTTCCTGCTTCCTTGTTGACTACCTGATAATGATGACATTCAATGAGTATCACAGAAATAGATCATACTATTCTCCAAATTCCACAGGGAAAGTTATGTTTGAGTCAATCGAAATTTCACGGAATGTATGCTGATTTCTGATCTCACCTATATTGAGCTCAGATTATTAGTTTTAGTAGAGGAAGCCGTCAGTCTGTCAAAATCAAATCATCTTCGTATAGTGTGGCAACTCGCTGGTTGTTTTTTTTTTTTTTTTTTTTGCTCCAAGTTTGATTCGGTTTTACATACTGTGGCCTTTATCATCGATCTGATTTTAATCTGATTGCCCTGCAATGTTTAGAGGGTTCAATACGGAAGAGGATAAGGGCCACTGAAAAAAAAGTTAGCTGATTTTAAAATGTTATTTCAGTTTAATGTGGGGAAAAAGGCCAGAATTATGAGATTAAAGTCAAAATTCTGACCTTTTTTCCCCCCATATTAACCTGAAATAAAATTTTAAAATCGGTTAACTTTTTTAAATTTACAGTGGCCCTAATCCTCTTCCATAGTTCAAGGTCCCCCCAGCAATCAGGCTTAATCATGTGTGGGAGTGTTGCATTCATTGCAAATTAGAAAACAATGATCTGTTCTACTTCTTCTCCCTAACAATCAGACGGCCACTCTGCGTCCATATCTCAATGCTGTGCGAGCCACGCTGCAGGCCGCTCTCTGCCTGGAGAACTTCTCCTCTCAGGTGGTGGAAAGACACAACAAACCAGAGGTGGAAGTCAGGTTAGTCAACCTTCACAGCTGAGAGAAAGATTTTTTAAACACATTTAATTCATTTTACTCATCAGCTAATGGTGTAACAAATGTATTTTACTGGTGTTTCTCGTTCATGTCCAGGAGTAGCAAAGAGTTGCTCCTCCAACCTGTAATCATTAGTCGTAACGAGAAGGAGAAGGTTCTAATCGAGGGATCCATCAACTCCGTCAGAGTGAGCATCGCCATCAAGCAGGTCAGTTAGATTACTGTCTGTCACTGATGCTGTAATAACTGAGACCTTAACAGTTTATTGGCTTAAATGGATGTGGAAATCTATTTGCTGCTGCAGGCAGATGAGATTGAGAAGATTCTGTGCCATAAATTTATGCGTTTCATGATGATGAGAGCGGAAAACTTCTTCATCCTTAGGAGAAAACCAGTGGAGGTAAGTGTCTTAAATCATCAGCGACAGTTAGTTTTCACTCAAAGATTATGCGGTAATAACACATGTACTTATAAAACTGTATTTGTTTCTAAGAATCTGGATTCGAGATTTGCTGCAGGATGTCATACAGTATATCAGAATATCCAAAAATGTTAAGAATTAGTTTAGCAATCAAGCCACTGAAACTTTATTTCCAGTTTTATCACAGACATGTAACTTTTAACTTCCTGTTCAGCTGTTCTGCTTCCATTACTGCTGTGTAGCTTCATTTTTTTCCCTATGGTTTAGAGGAGGAACTGTAGTTAGTTTAGCATAAGGCCATCATGACGAACTGGCATCATAAGGACTATGGCTATATTTTTTATTTTTTATTTTTTTGTACCGGTATACCCAATGAAAGGGCCTTAAAACATATGCAAAGCCTATCTAACATTGCAAACTTACCAATTGAGTTATGATATTATTTTGCAAATACAACTTTAAAGCTTCAGAAAGTGTGTGTATATATACATATATATATATATATATATATATATATATATATATATATGTTTAAAATGTTCAGCTTAAGTCAAAGACAACATATTTTGAGCTTTAATGTTACTGGAACAAGCAGGAAATTTCTGGTAAAATGTATATTTCTAATGAATATTTTTCCGTTTTGATCCTGAATAGATGAATGCAACATCTATTATTTATCTGTTTTTGCTTTGCAGGGATACGACATCTCTTTTCTCATCACCAACTTCCACACTGAGCAGATGTACAAGCACAAACTAGTGGATTTTGTTATTCATTTCATGGAAGAAATCGACAAGGAGATCAGTGAAATGAAGCTGTCCGTTAATGCCAGGGCGCGCATTGTCGCAGAGGAGTTCCTCAAAAACGTACATTGTTTCTATCTCTACTCTTTGATGTTTTATAGGGTGGTATTTTCTATAATTACTCTATTTCTCATTCCAGTCCTCTTTTTTTTTTTCTCTTGTCTCTGCAGTTCTGAGAGAGAGAGAAGACCTAAGAACACATTCCTTATTGCAATATTGGCCGTCACTGTGGGCCCTATACAGCAGGGCAGCTCCTCCCTGATGTTTTTCGAGAGGGGTAAAGAAATAAAGGATGTGCAGTAAGGCTGTGCAGGCAGACAGGGCACTTCCCTTTAACCTGAAGCTCATCCTGTGCTCCTGATTATTGATGTCTGTGCTAAATATTCCCACCATGCTTTCATTTTTCAAAGGTCAACAAACACATCATCTGAAGTAATGAGCACAGGATTAAGCATTTTTCTTTTTTTTTTTTACAAAATATAATTTAAAGTTTTAAAAATATATTTACATATATATATATTATATGCACATAAATATAATTTTGCTTTGTTTTGTTGCCACAAAATTGAAACTATGAGGGCAATCAGTTAAAGTTTTATTTCCCATGCACACAGATGAAACAAAGTGAAATATCTGGCAATGAATAAAAAAATAAAAAAAACAAGTGTACACTTTTCACTTTAGTGATTGTTTGTCATCCATTTCATGTTTACATTTCCAGAGCTGAATATTCATCAGTTATACAGGACATGTAATACCAGGTAGTTATTAGGTAGAAATGTGAATCTTTAGCTTCCACAGTACCATACTTTAAAAAAACAAAAAAACAAACCCAACAACAAACTGGCCTTTGCTATTAGGCTGATATTCACTCACAGAGGATACAAGGAATATTTGTATGTTAAAAGTTAGCTACACTATTAGTCTCATGATTTTTACTGCAGTTCACATTTTGGATTATAGCAACAGAAATACATTTAGAGCCTGATTTGACTCTTTAATAGGTTGTATTTGCAGGACAGTCTTCATTAGTGGAATGAAGATGCTGTATCTGGCTCTTAGTTCTTGGAGATTTTTTTTTTTATCTTTTTAACTTTTGTATAAAATACAACACAGTTAGTAAAAATAACAGGTTATTATAAAAGAAATGTTTGTAAAATAGTGTTATGAGTTTTTTTCTTTTAAATCAATGGAAGCACATGACAGTACATACAGGACTCAGTGCTACAGTCACAGATGACACTGAGATTATCTCAGCAACAGTTACAGTGGATCCAAGTAGGTTTCTTTCCTACAGAAATGAAAGATCCGAGTTCTAGAAGCTGGAGGGATAAAGCTGCTGAGCCAGCTTCCTTTATAGAGAGAGCAGAATGAAGTCCCAGCTGGAGAGGGACTCTGGGCAATTAGAGGTGAGCTGGAACAGTCTGTAGAGCATCTTCAGTGCTGCGCTGCACATTCACGTTCTGGAAGGAGCAACGACAGGGACAGTAATTATTAGCACTTAAGTTGGTCTTAATGAGTTATATTTTTCTGGTTAAACATTTGAAAATATCCTGTTTTGATGTAAATATATAGAAAAGGTGGCTGAGTGTCGCTACAGTGGCTTTTCAATATTAAAACCTCACTGCCTGATTATTATTGCTGATTTGTTTTCCTGTCAAAAAGATAAGCAAAGCAGAGATAATTTATTTCCATATTGCACATTATTTGTGAATTTAGATTTGCTAAAATAGGCCTAACTAACCACTGGAGGGCGGAAAAAGATCCATGGCATGTGTGTGTCAGTGGAACGTGGTTTGGTTTTCATCAGAGTGAAAGTTGTCAGTGTGAGGAAGATGTAGAAGGCATTAGATCATTCCCAATACGACTGAGCAAAGTCAGTACTGAGAAAAGTAAGGAACTTAGATATATAATGGAGAAGAATACTGTGGCTTTAGAAATATATATGCTGCTGTGACTGCTTTAGTTTTGACAAAATAAATAATAATTTGGCCAGAAAATCATTGAAATGAACGTGTTTTATTAAGAATACACACATGTTAACATTGTCAACATAAGACAAATGGCTTTAGATTAAAGTATAAAACACAGGCTTGCAAATTTAAACTAAGTACAATATTGGTATATACCACAAGTCAAACTTTAACATAAAAAAAAAACAAAACAAACAAAAGAGCTAAGGCTCAAGGTGCAGCTTTCAATCATGACTCAACAGTCGGTGCATTGTGTGCAGCATCACTAAGTTTAAAATATTTAAGTTGTGCGTACATCAGCGGTAATAAAGAAAAAGCTGTTCATCTCAAATTTAAATTTAGGAACAAACAAAAAGATGCACCAAAAACAACCATAGAAAAAAAAAAATACAGATGCACCAATAAGCCAGAGATAAAGAAAATCTGACAAATTTCTCTTGATCGGCTCAAAGCTTCCATCTGGTGTTAGACTTTGAATCAGCAGCAAATCTTTTTTTTTTCTTTTATTGAAATAATTTCAATTATGGGCCTAAAAAAATGGCTTTCGTGCAAAAATAAATAAGATAAAACTAGCAACTCTTAAATTCTCAATCAAAACTTCAAACCTTGAACTTGTATCACATTTTGTCTGATTAGTAAAGACTGAAATTATATTGAAATCAGTTAATATTGGCAACAGCTTTGAATTCTTATTAGAAATCAAACTAGTTTTTGAAGTGTAGCAACTGTTATGGCCTTGGCCAGTCAGATTAATTGCAGAAAACAGCTAATGAAAAGGGTGATGACCAACACTTGGAGAAAAGATGATTATATATAATTGAAACATGCGTAAATATTATAGTGTTTTCTACTAATCATTGGAAGGCTGACAGCGATTGTCAAGAGGTGTTAAGAGGTAAAATAAAATATTTTTCTTCCAATAGGATATTTTATTACGTTATTCTAGATTCCTATCAGAAAGAAAATAAATTAGCCAGAACAAATCTTAATTTTCCAAAGATATGGGAGGTCTTAGAGCAGAAATTAAAAATAAACCCCCATTGACCAGTAAAGCCCCGATCGGTGCATCTCCAATTTGAAATGTTATTTAATAGTATAAAGTGCATACATTTAGACATGCATTTACTGTTGCGCTTTTGTGTAACATACCTTATGTTTTCAGAAATGTGTTCTGATATTAACAAAAGTACACTGAGGCTATCAGCGCTACATTAAATTGTTTATCTTATGCTGTTCCTCCCCCTCTCCACACTGTACTGACTCAATAGAATCACAAAACTGATTACATAAATTTTATAACAGAAGAAACAAAATTGAAAACGGAAAATGTCTAAATTAGTGGTAAAAAGATGAATAATGTTGTTTTTAGTGTTACATTCTTTATGTTCTCCGTTAACAGGAAAGGGTTTAACACAGATAGCTGAGCTGCAGGGAGATTCAGACTAGGAGGACATGATGTCAATTCAGAGGAGTGTGGAAACAAAGTCACAGTCTGTGTCCTAACAGAGAGGAACCCCCCCCTCCCCTCCAGACCAGATCTGGACAAGGTTCATGGATGGCGTGAGGCTGACGACGCAGGGAAGTCAAGTGTCTCCTGCGAGACCTCTCAGTATGCTGGTTGTGATACCTACCTCTGGCCTGTCTCTGTGAGTGTTAACAGACTCCACGCCTAGATACACTGACTCCACTTTACATCCTGAGGAGGAGCAAACAACAAAAAAAAGACAAGTAATCAATATTTAACGCTTAATAACTTGCTTATCTGCAAAATGAGTCTCATCAGGCTGCAGCTAGATTTCCTTTCAACCTCTGATGGTGATGTAACTGGGCTTCTGGAAATTCAGCAGCATTAAGGACTGTTCTGATTTAAAATGCAAGACTTGAATGAATGATAACACTTCATGAAATAATTAGCTCTGTGAATTATATTAAGCATATATTTTAGCTTAACCAAATTAAAACTTAAATCTTTCAGTGCCAACATCCAGTAATCTTGTTTTAAGATTACTGACAGCAGGTTTAAAAGGAGTTAAACACTTTGGAGCTGGTAGTGGATGATGCAACAAGAATGAATCCCTTCATAGGTCAGCAGGGAGAGCTGGTTGTCTGTGGTAATGCCTTGGTTTATTATGGGTCTGGTAGTTGTGTGAAAAAAAAAATCTGGGTGCATGGTCCCGTTTAAGACTTTTTGGCAATGTTCACACTGCAGGCCTTAATGCTCAATTTCAATTTTTTTGTGAAATCCAATGTTTTTGCGTTGCCGTTCACATTTCCAAATATATTCCGTAAAAAAAAAACAAAAATATCCACTGGACTTGGTTTTCAAGATTTGAAGACGTTTCGCCACCTCTCCA